GATTGCAGAGAAAAGGGAACACTTCATACACTGATAGTAGGAATGTAAATTAGTTCAGCCACTGTGGAAAGCAATGTGGAGATTCCTCAAAGAACTTAAAACAGAACTATCATTAGACCCAGCAATCCCACTTACTGAGTATATACCCAAAGGAAAATAAATTGTTCTACCAAAAAGACACATGCCCTCACATGTTCACTGCAGCACTATTCACAATAGCAAAGACATAGAATTAACCTATATGTCCATCAACAGTGGACTGAATAAAGAAAATGGTATACATATGCCCAGGAATACTATGCAGCCATAGAAAGAATGATATCTTTTTTTTTTTTTTTTTTTTTTTTTTTGAGACGGAGTCTCGCTCTGTCGCCCAAGCTGGAGTGCAGTGGCGCGATCCTGGCTCACTGCAAGCTCCGCCTCCTGGGTTCACGCCATTCTCCTGCCTCAGCCTCCCGAGTAGCTGGAACTACAGGCGCCCGCCACTGCGCCCGGCTCATTTTTTGTATTTTTAGTAGAGACGGGGTTTCACCATGGTCTCGATCTCCTGACCTTGTGATCCGCCCGCCTCGGCCTCCCAAAGTGCTGGGATTACAGGCGTGAGCCACCGCGCCCGGCCAGAAAGAATGATATCTTATCCTTTATAACAACATGGATGCAGCTGGAGGCCATCACCTAAGAAACATAATGAAGGAACAGAAAACTAAATATCACATGTTCTCACAAGTGACAGCTAAACATTGAATATCCACAAATGCAAAGATATGAACAACAGACACTGGAGACTACTTGAGTGGGGAGAGTGGTGGCGGGGGGGGATGGGGGTGGGGGTTGAAAAACTACCAATCAGGTACTGTGCTCCAGGATCATTTGCACACTGAACCTCAGTGATGTACAGCCTGCCCACCTAGCAAACCTGTACATGTACCCCTGAGCCTAAAATAAAAGTTGAAAGAAAAATAAACAAAGCACTGTGTCTCTAAAAAAATTACCAAACTACATGCTTAAAAATGATTTTGTTTTATTGCATGTAAATATGCCACAATAATATTATTTTTTAAAGAAAAAAATTTTTTCAATTAGGGATTTTCTTTAAAAATAATATCAACAACAAAGAAATTCTTAAATGTAAGAAAAAAATTAATGATTCTATCTATTCTGAAATAAAATGTTGATGGGCTGTTGCTTCTCTTTCAGATTTATCATAGGTTGCTGTATAGACTTTGGGGGTGAGGGGACTTGTTTTTTGTTTTGAATTAACTTTTTTACTCTTTAGTATTTAATGTTGAGATGAATGGCCTTTGATGTAAATTATACTCCTGGAAGGAACAAATCATTGTCTCAATAAACTAGAGAAAAATCCAGAATTCTGCACTGCAGATATTATCTTCTAGGAGAGTGTTATCTCCTAAATTTTATATATAATATATGGAGAATTGGAATTCCGCTGATGCAATTTTTGTAATGTGTTAAGTAAAATTAGAACATATAGAACTAATGTTGGGGGTTTTGGGATATCTTTTAAGATTAACAAATGATGAAAAAAATATACTTTCCAGGAAAATGTTTTAATAGGAGAGTGATTAAGAATAGAGCTGTCAGCGCGCCCAAGATGGCCAAATAGGAACAGCTCCAGCTTCCAGCTCCCAGCGTGAGCGACACAGAAGACGGGTGATTTCTGCATTTTCAACTGAGGTACCGGGTTCATCTCACTGGGGTGTGTCATGTCGGACAGTTGGCGCTGGTCCACCCGTGCAGCCCAACCAAGGAGAGGTGAAGCACGGCAAGGCATCACCTCACCTGGGAAGTGCAAGGGGGAAGGTAATTCCTTTCCTAGTCAAAGGACATTGAGACACACAACACCTGGAAAATCGGGTAACTCCCACCCTAATACTGCACTTTACCAAGGGTCTTAGCAAACAGCACACCAGGAGATTATATCCCACATCTGGCCCGGAGGGTCCCATGCCCACGGAGCCTCCCTCATTGCTAGCACAGCAGTCTAAGATCTAACTGCAAGGCAGCAGCGAGACCAGGGGAGGGGCGCCCGCCACTGCTGAGGCTTAGTCTTGAACTCTGGAGCTCAAGTGATCCGCCCGCCTCGACCTCCCAAAGTGCTGGGGTTACAGGTGTAACCCACAATGCCTGGCCTGTTTTTCACATTATATACATAAAACAAGCAAATTTTTGAAAAGACACAACATGCAAAAAACGTAGAAAGCAAAAAAAATCCATTGCTATCACCATATACATCCATTATTAGTTTTGACACATTTCCTTCTAGTCTTTTAATATGCACACTTTTAAAAACATGTTTCATCATCAAACCATTTATACAATTTGCATAAAAGCAGATATATTGTAAATACATAGGATCATCATTGCATGGTAACAGTAGCTTTGTGCCACCCTATATTTTACATCTTCTACAAAATTCAGTGTGATCAAAATTATTTCACATCATAATTACTATAACAAAAATATATAATCTTGGTTTTCAGAGAACATTCTTATATAATGACATACATTTCCAGTTAACCATATGCTTAAACCTATTAATCACATAATCCAGTATATAAAAATGTACATGGTTTTATAACTATATGCATCTCTAATTAACTAACTAGAACACTTTTTTGGATGACTTACCTTTAATTGTTGTTTTCTAAAAGTATCCTGAATTTCTGTGTACTAATTTTGGTTTTAGCTAAAAGAAATGCTCTCAAAATTACGAATATTTTCCCCTAGCATTCTGCTGAAATGTTGGCAGCTTAACATATTTGGCTTTAGTAATTCATCCTATTTCCTTGATTGGAATTGATCTCAACAAGACAGTGTGCATTTGGAAAACACTGATTATATTTAATAAAAAGTGAATGTATGTCAAGGAACATTCTATTCTGTGTAATGAGGCTTTATAGATTAGGTCTAATTATCACTGATATAAAACTAAAAATCCTTTATATGTTAAATACCAATTAGCTTTCCTCTCAGAACAAAAATCTATGGAACTTAAAATCACAAAGATATCTTTGGCATAAATAATACAAGTAAGAATGTGACAACATGAAACAAAAATGTTTAAAATGATAATTTTTAAAGTTTCTAATAATGACTTTAAAACTGATGCAGTGTATATAGAATGTGTAACACTGTGGTTCATTAAAATTCTAAGAATCTGGTGACAGATTTAGTCTAAGTCAAAATTTTTTTTGTTTAAAAAAATAGGAAACCCTAGAATATATTTCCATATATTTCTATAAATCTCAGATAAACACATTTTGACATTTTAGAACTACCAATAAAGAGACAGGTAGATCTGGACATAACTTCTTTCTTTAAAAGTCATGGACTACAATAGAAAATAGGTTACATGATGTATGCAAAAGATTACTTTTTCAGAAACCTTGAGTTCTAGTTATGTCTCAGCCTTGTGTGTGACCTTAAAAAATTCCTTTAAGCTTCCAAACTCAAAATAAACCTCTTACAGAATGAGGGAGACCTTTTCCATTTCTAAATCATAAAATTTAAGGGTAAGATAGGATAGAAAAGTTCCCTATTCACAAAGAAAATATTAATTGGCAAAAAAATTTTTTCTATGCATTATGATGGGACAGAAGAGAGACAGGTTCAATGAAGAAAGAAAATATCAACTTTAGGTGGCTGAGCATTTTAGCCTTTTTGAAACATTGTTATGCATATGATCTCATTTTAATCTTGCCATAATCCTATGAGACAGAAGTGTAATATATTTATATATATTAAAATTGTTTCTATTTGGCAGATAACAAAGTTGTGGGCAAAGGGGGCACTATTTTGTCACTGTTCAGAATTACAAGAGTATTTCACAGATTAACAAGAATCTAGGTCTCATCACTCCTTAACTGGGACCCCTTTCAATGCAGCTAAAGGGAATAATAAGCACATGCAGCTGAATACAACTAAGGAACAAAGAGAAAGCATTAAAGAAAACATATAGGAAATGAGATCTCCTTGGTGGGTTCTTTTTGCTGACTAGTGAGGATGTATACTTAACACTATAAGCTCAAAGGGAGCTGTGGTGATATGTTCAGAAATGTGCACCAATTAATGTAAAAACTGAATTTCTGCAAAAACCAGAAATTTCATTCACCTAGTTTTAAGAAATGACAAAAAAACTTATCAAACTTGTGAAAATGCAACATATAGTGTGGCATAATCAAATGGACAAGATTCTTCCAAAACACTAGGACATATATATCCTCTTTTGGACTGACTGATTATAATAGGGTCTTCATATTCAAATTAGTTTTTAAAACTAGCTGTACTTTTCAGGAAACTAATGTTTTCCTATATTTCATATGAATATGCAGATGCTTTTATACCTATATAAATTGTAAAGTTATTGGTTGAATTAATAAAAACAGAAAAAATTTACTTATTTATGAAAAAGATACCTATTATGTCAAAGCTCCTTGTTACTGAAACATAGTTAATTGAGGCCTTAATGAGTGCTTACCACAAAGTTATATGTATAGCCATATGAACTAATTAAAGAAAGGCAATGCTCCAGAGTGTAGTGAAATTTACTTCATTTAGGTTATGGTACTACTTTTTGGTTCAAAGACTATACTTTTTAAAAAGTGGATACCTGCGGTCCATCTCTGGCTTCATAGAAGTCACCCACTCTTATTTTTGCACTGAAGCTGAAATTGTCCCTTGAGATATCCATTATTCCATTTCTGCTGAGATACTGAAAAAATCACATATTTTTCCACTTCAGGTTTTAATAATTACAACCCAGCTTTGATGTATAGCTAGCTTCAGGACACTAATGTTTTGCATATTCTATCAAGGGGCTATAAATTTATAGGAGATCAATTTAGGTTAAGTACAATAGTCCCATACAAGAGAATATTTAGTATCAAGGAACTTTATCTGAGAAAGGAGTACACTTTTTTTTTTTACATGATCATGCTTAATAGGCACCAAATGTACATTATTTGGTGAAAAGTATGTACCTTTATTACTTCAGGGTACTGCCTAAGTTTCTTTCCACATGGAGCATAATATGCTACTTCTCCTTGAAGGCGCCCTCCAAAGTTTCTTATTCTTGTCTCTCTCTGCCAGCTACACATAACAGAAATGAAGGTTATAACATACTTAATTTTAAGACAGCTTTTAAAAATTAAAAATAAGTTAAAGTATACATGTTCTCTAGAAAACATGAAAAATGAAAACAAAAACTCCTCAAACAACCCAAATATATTAACTGTCAAAATTTAGACTTCTAGCTAATTCAACTAAAAAATTAATTATTCAATTTATATATTAAACTCCATCAAAATGCTTAGAAATCGTAATTGATTACTTTGGGTACTCTGACATTTCATTAACGTGTCTACGTATAGTGATTTTTACATCTGAAAAGCTTTAACGGAGGAGTAAAGTAAACCTGGCTCTCTGCTGGTTGGGGTTCACATACATTCAGTCTAAAAGCTGTCATTTCTAATTAAACCATTTTAGCCAAACTCTGGTTGAGTCCCTCAATTTTGACCAAAGTAGCTTTTACTGTCCTTTAATTCTATCTTCACAAAAACTTCTCACAATCTCGCTGTACTCCTGCCCGTTGCCATCTGATTTGCTCTTGGTTCTTTATCAGTCATGTTCCTACTTGGCTGTATCATCCCACCCCAGCTCTGCCATACCTCCAGGAAACAGGATTAATTTCAGTTTTCTGATATACCAAATTCCTTGCCCTTTGCTCTGGCTCTTCTGCTCTAATAAATACTATGCAGCTATGTACTTCTTTTATTAAATGTAGAGAATGAGAAATCAAGTATACATCAAATGTGCATAAATATATGGGGGAAAAAGAAAAAGGGAAACCTTATTTTGCATACCCATATTCCAATGGAATACGCAGTTCACGTTCATCTGTTACTCTTCTTCTTTTGGAAGTGCCTTTAAAAAAATTCAATTGGTTAATATAAAAAATTCATTAATAGAGATAATAATCTTGATCGTTTAGGAAGTTTTCTTTTAAAAAGTATATGTTAATGACTTGGATTATTTAGTGTATTTCTATAATTTATACATTATTTTTAGATGGTTTTCAATAAAACACTGTATAAGGCAGGGGGCTTTTTTGTTCTTTTAGGTCTGAATGACAGAATAACTAGTTTTTCTCTCTAAAGAAAATACAATTCAAGGTAAAAATATATACCTTTCCTCTCATTTTGTTATTAAAGAAATGGCTAGAGAAGCAGGACAGAAAGAGGTTTCAGAAAACTTTTTTAAATTGTTGACTTTGAAAATATGAGTTTTCGGATGCTGAAAAATTTCAACAGCTGGCTCATACATTTAAAGATGATTTAATTTCTATGTCCATATACATCCATAGTCAAAAACACTACCAGGTCTTTTAATTAACCTAAACCACCAAGGATCAGGATTATGATTTTAAGTAAAAATTTTCAAAGACCGAGATCAAGTTTCACAAACATAAATAAACTCATCTAAAATTAGTAGGCTATCATACTGGTATGTGGTAAATGAAAGCAAAGCTAGAAATTGACAAGAGGAGAATGAAATAAGTAAAATAACAAAATATTTTACTGTATACATCTATATTTTCTTAGACATGGAATGAGAACTGAGAGTAGTTTTGGAATATTAAATGTAGAAATGTTTAATGAAGATCTCTAGGAATTTATAAAAAGTCAAATAGGAAAAAAAAGGACATGGCATGTTAATGGAATAAGATTGCTACTCTCTAATAGAAACGACACTGGCTACATGTTGGGCAGATAGCATCTTAAGTAACCAAGTGAGCTTTTTTATAAAGTACAGTTGGCCCTTGAACAACATGGGTTTGAACTGTGTGAGTCCACTTATATTCAGATTTTCCTCCACTTCTGTCACCCAGGAGACAGCAAGACCAATCCACCTCCTCCTCAGCCTATTCAACATGAAGATGAGAATGAAGATCTTTATAATGATCCACTTCCACGTAATGAAGAGTCAATATATTTTCTCTTGCTTATGATTTTCTTACTAACATTTGTCTTTTCTCTTTATTGTAATACAGCATAGAACACATACAACATATGTTAATTGACTATTCATGTTATCAGTAAGGCTTCTGGTCAATAGTAGGCTAACAGTTAAATTTTTGAGAAGCCAAAAGTTCCATGTAGATTTTCGACTGTGTGTGGAGCCAGTGCTCCTAAATCCTGCGTTCAAGGGTCAAGTGTACAAAAAAGTCCAACTGTCAATTAAATTCTACATTCTAGAAGCACAAACTGAACACAAAAGCAGAAAAGGTTCAAAACCAAAAGAACTGTCATTAATCAGATCCTTAAACTGGAAAATCAGGGGGAAAAAAAAGACCAGGTTATAAGTCATGTTCTTTGAAAATACATGCTGACCTTCCTTAGCCAACCTAAAATCTAACTCTAATCTTGATTCCAGTGAGATCATCTCCAGAACACTCTATCAGTAAAAATTCTTGCTATGGTTTGACTTCTACTTTAGAATAATAAAAATAAAGGGTAGGTACCAGAGTGTGGGCTTGAAGTAAGTGTGGAAGAAGATGTACCAAGAAAAGCAGGTGACTGGGATTCAGAACATAAGGCAGCAGGAGCAGAGCCTGGGGCTTTTGCTATGTGGAGGTTACGAGGTGTTGAGTGAGCTGTAAGACTCATGGAAGGGCTTTTGACAGAGGAAGTTGTTTTATTCAGTTTCATTGAAGTTTTCTCTCCTTCAGTATCACTATCTGATTCATCTTGGTCTTTATCATCATCATCTTCTTCTTCTGATCCTTCTGTATCTGATTCTGAATTACTATCTGATTCTGGGAAGTAAAAGAAGCATTTGTATATTATAACTAGATAATCACCAATAATTTGCAGTTTGTATCTAAATGGACTAGCTCAGGAACCAGCAACTGTGAATGAGAACTCAAATGAGCAATTTTCCTACAGAGTAAATGTTATAAGCTATTTGAGAACAGTGTATGCAGGATATAAATCTTCAAAAAAATTTTTTTAAAGTGTAAGTTTTACTCAACACTTTAATCATAAAACAGTTCTCATGTGACACTATACACATGACGAGTTCTGCTTGGTGTCAAAATAATTTTTTATTTAATGGAGAAACTAAAGTAAACGGGGATTAAATTGACTATTCAAACTAACAGATTCCAATAGCTTATGAAGTACAGTAAGTCAAATATGAGAAAGAGAAATCTGGAACTACCATCATACTTCCATTTGGGCTCTGGAGTAAAAGAAAACCAGTTTCAACAGGAGATTTTTGGTTTTTTGGCTGCAGTTTTTCCATTTACATACAAGACTTCATCAGGCTTTTCTGGCCTCTCAAAAAACTAGGCCTACAGAAATAATTATAGTAGGATAATTCAATAATTTAAGTTTGTTCTAGCTATGTAGTTCTATGTATGATGCATCCGTTCCTCTAGATATGTAAAATCTATTACTAGATTAAACTTGATAAACATAGGAGTAATACTTAGACTGTTTCCTCATAGTTCACAGAACAATAGCTTCTGTGGAATTCTGGTTTGTGTGATATCATTTGCCTATATTGAAATTCATTATAAAAGTTAGTTTTTAAAGTAATGAATATTGATATTTATGATCTATCATACAAAGTTGTTTTATGGAAACCCCAGGAAGAGTGGTTCTTACCCTGAGCACAAAGTTTGTTTTTAACTTATAGACACTATAAATTGTACAGCTGAGTATATTTTCCTATTCAGATTAGCTGCTAAAAAAATTAGTTGAATCTGTAGTTGACCAGTAACAAATCCACAAATGTTTATAACACGTATTTCATTTTTGTATTCACAATTTAAGCTCTCTTGTATTTTATGTTTTCAATCTTCTGTGGAATGAGGAGAGGGAAGGAAAATAAAAATGCAAAGAAGTTAACCCCCGATCCAGCAAAAAAAAAAAAAGTGACTCAAAATTAAATTAGAGAGTCATCTATATGTTATTTAACAAATTTTCTGTTATTGATGGAACATTCATAGAGATTTAGGTTTTTGGTACTTTCTGAATGACTATGACTATAATTCTATCTTTGTTCAAAACACCTGGTGATACATTTTAACAAGTAGCAGAAGAAATGAAAGAAGAGTGGTCCTGAATGAAATAAAAATTAAGCAAGTTGATGAAATTATGTCTTAATTTATGCATCATTTGTATTCATCCTAAAGTGATTATTTGTTTAATGTCAAATGAATAACAAGCTGAGAATCTGACTTAGGATTTCCAGTATCAATTACTCCTGTATTTTACGAGCTCATTATAGAAATGCACAAAGCTGTGTGAAACACAGTAAATCACAGTGATTTTAAGTCTGAATTAAGAAATGCTTTAAAATGTCTGGTTCATATAGCATTTAGAGAAATAATTTAAATTTTAAAATGAAAATAACCTGATTGGCTGTCATCAGATTCATCATCTTCATCATCTTCCTCATCTTCTTCCTCATCATCTTCCTCTTCATCCTCATTTGAATCTTCAGAATCTTTACTACTGGGAATGTCTGAATCTGTTCCTCTGAATTGTTCCACTAAAGGTTTTGCAGGATGGGAGTGACGCTGTGTTTTCACCGGGTTTACATTATTGCTAACTGCTTTTTCCTTCCCTTGACTATGCAGGATGGGAGAGGCAGAGGGCATTACAGGTGTCTGATTGCCAGGTGTTCTTCTCCCACTTGTACTCAAATTTACAGGTGAGGAAAAAGGAGTGCTACTTGCAGCAGCAATGTTTTCATTAATCTTGCTCTGCATTTTAGTTTTGGTAGTAAGTGCTAGAGGAGCTTCTTGAATGACACTTTGAATAACTCCATTTGGTTGGTGATTACCTAAAAGTGCATTTGTCAAGAATGGATTTGGGTGGTTGTTTTCTAATGTTTGTTTTGGATGTGCTGGTGAACTAGAGGTTGCTTTTGGATTTGACAAAGCTGCAATAACCTTCTTCAGGCTCTTAGATGACTCTTGTTTCTTTAACTGTGATGGGAATGCCTGTTTATATTGTTCCTGTTGAAACATAAGTTAAAAAACACAACAAAATGTACCACAAAACAAAGATTGCTTTTATTTGCTTTCAATATCTGAAAACAAATTACAGCTATCATATCACACACAAATTTAAATCATGATATACAAGTGCTGTAGAAGTAGCAACAGCTATGACTAGTTGGTTGCTACATTTCGGCTGTAACTAAATAAAATTTAATTAGCTTTTACCCCTTAAAAATTATACGCCTTTTGACTATCCTCCTTGCTTTACTGTTGCTTCCATTTTCACAATAATCCAAACCTAAAACCATTTTCTTGCATGAAATAGCCTCCTCTTAGAAATTTCAAGCTGACAGGCTGGGCGCGGTGGCTCAAGCCTGTAATCCCAGCACTTTGGGAGGCCAAGCCGGGCAGATCACTAGGTCAGGAGATTGAGACCATCCTGGCTAACACGGTGAAACCCTGTCTCTACTAAAAAATACAGAAAACTAGCCGGGCGAGGTGGTGGGCGCCTATGGCCCCAGCTACTCGGGAGGCTGAGGCAGGAGGCGGAGCTTGCAGTGAGCTGAGATCCGGCCACTGGACTCCAGCCTGGGCAACAGAGCGAGACTCCGTCTCAAAAAAAAAGAAAAAAAAAAAAAAAAAAGAAATTTCAAGTTGACAAAATACTGTTTATTCTTCAAGATCCAAACCAAGAAGCTTTCCAAATTTCCCAGCATTCTTTGCCTCTTTCCTTTGAGCTCCTTTACCTCTTTATACAGATGCTCCTCAGCTTGCCATGGGGTGACTTCCCCATAAACTCATCGAAAGTTGAAAATATCATTAAGTCAAAAATAGATACAATACACCTAACCTACCAAACATCACAGCTTAGTCTAGGCTACCTTAAATATACTGAAAACACTTACATTAGCCTAAAGTTGAGCAAAATAATCTACCAACACAGTACACTGTAGAGTATCGGTTGTCTGCCCTCATTATCATGTGGCCAAGCAGGAGCTGTGGCTCACTGCTGCTGCCCAGCATCAAGGGACTATTGTACCGATTTCTACTGAATGTGTATAGCATTTGCACCATTGTAAAGTTGAAAGATCATAAGTCAAACAAGTCTTTTTTTTTTTTTGAGACGGAGTCTTGCTCTGTTGACAGGCTGGAGTGCAGTGGTGCGATCTTGGCTCACTGCAACCTCTACCTCCCGGGTTCAAGCGATTGTTCTGCCTCAGTCTCCCAAGTAGCTGGAACTACAGGCATGCACCACCATGCCCAGCTAATTTTTGTATTTTTAGTAGAGATAGGGTTGCACCATGTTGGCCAGGATGGTCTCGATCTCTTGACCTTGTGATCCGCCTGCCTCGGCCTCCCAAAGTGCTGGGATTACAGGTGTGAGCCACTGCGCCCAGCCAAGTCAAACAAGTTTAAGTTGGCGACTATATGTACTCTTATGCCACACCATCTTTAGTATACATAGCATATGCCTATATGCCTGAAATCTCTAAGGAGATAACTTAACATCTTTGATAAATTCCTCAGGGTAGAAACACTCATTTATTCACCTTTATGGTCTTCCTAAGACATTGCTCAGAACCCTGTGCTTGGTATGTGCTCAAAAAACAATTTTAGGTTGCTGAATGAGTAACTTCCTGAGCAAGAACTTCTTTGAAGCAAAGATTTAAGACACTAAGCTGGTGGAAGTGGACATTCTGTGGGTTCTACTTTAGTGTGCCTTTGCATAGTAACATTCCAGAGTAAACAACTTAGAAAAATACAATTTTCTTGGAAAAGATTATAAACCATTAAGCCACAAAATTTATGTCTATAAAGAAATAAAAACTTATTTAACTATTAGAATCTCCTTGAAAACAATACAATCATGATTTTTATTAAGCTACTATGATTAAAATATTACATAAAAATAAGCAGCAGCAGAATTATTAAGATCTTTTCAGTTAACAGAAGGAGTAGAATTTCTTAATCTAAGGTAAAATTCTACATTGAAAATGATTGCCTTGAAATTAAAATCAGCAGTGTTGTCAGCATCAGACTTGGGCTCCTAACACTCAAATCAGCAAAGATTTGTGATGGAGATTTCGCAAGTGTAAATGCTGATGGAACGTTATATAAAATACTTACTAAATATTGTATTTATTCTTCTTATTATTATTTTTAGACAGAGTCTCACTCTGTCACCCAGGTTGGAGTGCAGTGGCACGATCTTGGCTCGTTGCAACCCCCACCTCTTGGGTTCAAGCCTGCCTCAGATTCCTGAGTAGCTGAGACTACGGACGTGTGCCATCATACCTGGCTAATGTTTTTGTTGTTGTTTTTTGTTTTTTTTGAGACAGAGTCTCTCACTGTGTCTCCAGGCTGGAGTGCAGTGGCGCAATCTTGACTCACTGCAACCTCCGCCTCCCCGGCTCAAGCGATTCTCCTGCCTCAGCCTCCCAAGTAGCTGGGACTACAGGCGCATGCCACCACACCCAGCTAATATTTATATTTTCAGTAAAGATGGGGTTTCACAATGTTGGCCAGGATGGTCTTGATATCTTGACCCTGTCATCCACCTGCCTTGGCCTCCCAAAGTGCTGGGACTACAGACATGAACCACCGCACGCAGCCTTTTTTTTGGATTTTTAGTAGAGAAGGGGTTTCACCATGTTGGCCAGGCTGGCCTTGAACTCCTGACCTCACATGATCCACCTGCTCTTGGCCTCCCAAAGTACTGGGATTACAGGCATGAGCCACTGCACTCAGCCTAAAATACTTATTAAATATTTTAAAGCAGCAGTACTAACAAGCAGTAAGCAATGTAAACTTTTTCATTTATGAAAAACAACTATGCTGTATTAGTTTAGAAATTAAGATAATCTCTGCAAATAAAAACTGTCACAAAATATTTGTACCTAAGGCAATATCTTACAAAGAGAAAGTGCTTAATTAGTAATTATTCAGTAAATTACGGAAAATTATACTAGTTAGATGTACTTTTTCGATGTAATTTTATAGCAAAATTCTTACATAAAATACTTTAATATATACAAGATTTAAATTTTCAGCAGAAAAATGAGTGATTTCGTCTGTTAGAACACAATTATGTAATAATTTTGTAACCTTTTTTTATAGGTAGTAAGTTTTCCTTCTAAATATACAGGTCCAAAGGGCCATAAAAACCAAAGTCCCTTTAGTTTTGTATTTTAATTTTCTGCAACAATTACAGTGTTCCTCACTGTAATTCTAAAGAATCACTTCCCATATATTGACACCAATAAGTTTTTAATAACAGCCAAAGATTTCTATATTTTATTCAAATTGCTCTTTTATAGTACACATATTATCATTTTTAAAATCAGGGGTGATGTGTAAAAAGGAGATGGAGAGAAATTTGAGACCTGTATAGTAGCAAACCTCTTGCTGCTTTAAGATATCCATTTGGGGCCAGGCGCGGTGGCTCACGCCTGTAATCCCAGCAGTTTGGGAGGCCAAGGCAGGCAGATCACTTGAGGTCAGGAGTTTGCGACTAGCCTGGCCAACATGGTGAAACCGCATCTCTACCGAAAATATAAAAATTATCTGGGGGTAGTGGCAGGCGCCTGTAGTAGCAGCTACTTGGGAGGCTGAGGCAGGAGAATGCTTGAGCTGGGGAGGTGGAGCTTGCAGTGAGCCGAGATAGCGCCACTGCACTCCGGCCTGGGCAACAGAGCGAGACTCTGCCTAAAACAAACAAACAAACAAACCCATTTGGACGGGAAGAGGAGACGAGTTCCAAAACCTGTCCTACCTCCAAGCTCTTGCTCCCCGAGACCCTGGAGATCACAAAAAGTCCTCCAGATAAAAGTTGATAAAAGAGGGCCGGGCGCAGTGGCTCATGCCTGTAATCCCAGTACTTGGGGAGGCCGAGGTGGGTGGATCATGAGGTCAGGAGATTGAGACCATTCTGGCTAACACGGTGAAACCCCGTCTCTACTAAAAATACAGAAAAAATAGCCGGGTGTGGTGGCGGGCGCCTGTAGTCCCAGCTACTTGGGAGGCTGAGGCAGGAGAATGGTGTGAACCCGGGAGGCGGAGCTTGCAGTGAGCCGAGGCCGAGATCCCGCAACCGCACTCCAGCCTGGGCAGCAGAGTGAGACTCTGCTTCAAAAAAAAAAAAAAAAAAGTTGATAAAAGAAAGCTGACATAAGATCTACAAAATTCCACTCCTGGTCTATGTATTCAATCAATCTATATGGATTTAAGTTACATTGTCTTCAGTGTAAGGGTACTGAAGGATTCAGTGATTAAATAACCTTTAAGAAAATAACGAACTAATGAGGGATGCAGGTAGGTACCTCTAACTCAATGACAGGTACTGACAAAGAGAAGGCAATCTTTTAGAGTTGAGTCTAATGTGAATGTCCAATTTTATCATCTGTAAATGAGGATAATATTAGTAGCACTCATAGATGTTATGACCAATAAGTTAATGTATGTTCAGCAATTAAAACAATGGCTGGCAAACAGTAAATGCTCTACAAGTGTTATCTAATTAAGTTGCCTAATGATAATGTTTGTAATATTGTGTTCAAACATAATGGTTTGCTACTCTAGGCTGATTCTAGAATAAAAAGCAATACTCATTTAATTATTAGAATTTTGCTGGACATATGAAGGTAGTCTATGTAGTAAAATCAACAGCAAGAAAAACAAAGATGAGAAAATTCTCTGAAGAGTGTTTCCAGTATTTGTGTAAGTAGAAGTTATATTTCATATAATTCATTAAGAATGGCAAAGGAATTTTTTTTTTTGGTAGAGACAGGGTCTCACTATGTGGCGGAGGTTGGTCTCAAACAGTCCTGGGCTCAAACAGTCCTTCTGCCTTGGCTCCCAAAGTGCTGGGATTACAGGTGTGAACCCACCATGTCTGGCCAGAAAAGTGATTCTTTATGAAGGGTTTTTACACTTAAAATGTATACATTCTAGAACTATAGAGGTAAATTACTTGAGTCCATTTCTTTGAAAAAGAATATATTTGGCTGGATGTGGTGGCTCACGCCTGTAATCCCAGCATTTTGGGAGGCCGAGGCAGGCAGATCACTTGAGGTCAGGAATTCAAGATCAGCCTGGCCAACATGGTGAAACCCCATCTTTACTAAATACACAAAAATTAGCCTGGTGTCGTGACGCACGCCAGTAGTCCCAGCTATTAGGAAGGCTGAGGCAGCAGGATCACTTGGATCCGGGAGGTGGAGGTTGCAGTGAGCTAGGATCGCGCCACTGCACTCCAGCTTGGGCGACAGAGCGAGACTCCGTCTCAAAAAAAAAAAAAAAAAAAAAAAAATTGGTATTAGGAAAAAAAGGATATTAATTTTAAACCTAAGTAATTGTGAAGCTTGTCTTATTCAAACATACTTATCCCCTTATTTCTAAATCCTTAGATCTTGGGTGTGGGGGCTTATCTTAGGGATGGGTTGCAGGGGAGCTGGAATAACATGATTGCATTGCCAAAAACACATTAAACAGATACATATATGAATATAAAATGAGAGACATTTAGTTTTCTGATGTACATATTCTATTCCTGGAGACTAAGAAGGTATAAAAATGAGGGTAGAATTTAACTTAAACTTGTGTATTATAAGACAATATAGAAGCTCTATCTGTTTCTAGTAGTAAAATTCTTGTATAAATAATTTGTAACTCACCCGTTTGGATCTCAATTCACTGGTCAATGAACTAGATTCTTCAGAGGTATTTTTATTCCCTGCTTTAAGAACATCAGGAGAAGGAACTATGAGTTTCATGTAAGTTTCCTTTTTGGCTTGATTTACCAAAGATAAAGGTTTCACATTGGACACCAATCCCGTAGACTGTATCACACTGGTGTGTTTGTTCACAGATTCCTCCTTTGCCTGAGAGCTTTGGAAAATAAATGGAAGCTGCTGTGACAAAACCTGAGGCTGCTTCTGCTGGGATTGGAATGATGAGTGAGTCTGGGATTCAGACACAAGAGGTAATGGCTGGTGTATTCTTTTTTCCTGGGCTTTTTCAGTTGCTTTCTGTCCATCTGCTTTTGGGTCTGAAATACCATGTAATAGCACCTAGAAATAAAAATGAAAAGGTAAGTTCCTAACATCTATTAAGATAAAGATTATCAAGCAGTAAAACCTGGAGATAAAAACGGATACTTTAAAAGTGTTCCTAATGCCTTATGATAATATCTAAAAATCTAAAAATTCATAAAAGAAATACCATATGTCCCTTTAAAAATATTTCTTCATCTTCTTTCTTGGGCAAAAGTATGAACTCAAAGTAATGATTAACTTTAAAACTACAGACCTTGAGAGTCAAGATAAACCAGTTAATTTCTAAATATGAATAATGTTTGGATACTGTCCATGAAAAAAATTATACCTGGTTGTTACTTTTATGTTGTGCTTCACTCTCTGAATCAGAATCATCATCTTCACTTTCTTCAATACTTTGATCTTCTTCCTCTTCATCTTCTTCTAGATCATCTGAATCACTACTACTAATGCCTTCACTTGAGGTGTCTGATGATGTGCCTGAATCACTATCACTGTTGCTGGAACTTTCCATTGCTTTCTTCCTTGGTTTCTGGATAATGACAAGGTAGTTGGCAAGACTTTATTTTTCGAAAACATTCAAGTTTCAATAAAAGGTATGCTCTTTTTAATTTTCAAATGCTATTTTCAATCTCAAAATGTTATTGTAGGAAAAAGTTACATATTGTAAGGATAATTATTTAACAAACTGATCAACTTAACTTACATGACAGAACTCCTCAATAAAAAGTGCAAGTTCTGTCATGTAGAATATTGAAAATATCAATATAGCATATGTGTAGATGTATTCACATGGCTGCTAATCTTCAAAATGTGCGACAGACTAAAAAGATCAGTTCACAAAATGATTCCAACTATGATACATACATCAAAAGTTACACATTTAATCTTTCTTTTTGCAGACAGTGAGTCAGTAGCCATACATTTACCTATAACATGCCACACACACCTTTCTGGGTGTGTCCAAGACTGAGTCCTTGCCTTCAAGAAACTTACCAGTGCTGGTGATAGGGGAGTATAGACAGATGCTTAACATAAAAACAAATCATTCCATATAATAATAAGTGCTGTAGAGAAGATAAAGTAGGGTAGCAACAGTCTTATGCGGCTGCTTTAGTTAGGGTCAAGGAATTTAACTCTTTATGTTTCATTTCAGAAAAGATTAAAAAAGGTAGAAGACAAGGTAGATAAATATAAAGAGAGATATTTATTTCTGGAACAGTTAAGACTCTGCAAGAAAAATAAAATCTAAAGCTGGTAGAAAGTGGCATTAGGTCACATAAAAGTGAAGTTTTGTGTTCAAGAACACACAATAGTGGTAGATAAAAACAGCAAAAATCATGAGATGAATTATAACAAATTAACAAACCAATCAAGTAACTTAGAATTCCTCAATAAAAAGTACAAGCTCTGTCACGTAGAACATTGAAAATATTTATAATTATTTAACAAAGGGAAAGTTAAAATTCCACCAATAGAAAGACTGAAAAGGAGAAACAGTGAAATGATGGAGCAAGAAGATTAAGTACGATCTAGGAACATTTAATAGCATTTGCTGATAAAGAACAAAATATAGAAAGAATAACAATAAATTACAAAAGTTATGATATTAACAGAAATACATCCTTTCATGACTACTCAGGATTGGGGAATGAAATACAGTAATATATCTCCACAACAGAAAGCCACATTGAAGCCACGGTTACAGATTGCAAATCTATAGTCTTTTTATTGTGTCTTCTGAACACTGATTCAGGTAACATTCATATAGTGAGGAGAGTCACTCCCGCCATTACATTCTGTTTGCAATGACTCTGTTTTTTTATTTTTTTGAGACAGAGTCTCGCTCTGTCGCCCAGGCTGGAATGCAGTGGCAAGACCTCAGCTCACTGTAACCTCTGCCTCCCAGGTTCAAGCAATTCTCTGCCTCAGTCTCCCGAGTAGCTGGGAGTACAGGCACCCGCCACCACGCCCGGCTAATTTTTGTATTTCTAGTAGAGACAGGGTTTCCCCATCTTGGCCAGGCTGGTCTTGAACTCCTAACCTTATGATTCACCCACCTCAGCTTCCCAAAATGCTGGGATTACAGGCATGAGCCACCACAGCCAGCCTTGCAATGACTCTGTTTTAACTGCTCCAAACCACCTAACAGAAGGCCTTCTTCAAAGATACACACTTCAATAAGCAGACTAATAGTTCCCATCATTTCTTGAGTTTTCTTCCCTCAAAGCAGGGCAGGCAGGAATGAGAAACTGAATTGGAATTGTATGGGAACCACCACAAGATGAGAAAGATCACAAGGTAGAGATTAAAGGAAAATAATAATGTATTAATATTAAGACTACCATTTGTTTGTCAAAGAAACAGCTACTTCTTTGCAACCAAAATCTGTTGTTGTTTTCTAAGCATGTATAGTAAGACTGAAAAGCATAAGGTACCTAAACGGAAATAAACATTTTTGTTTTAGTAAGGGATAAGAAAGAAAAGAAATGAGAGTGACGTGACAGTGATTTAGCAGAGAAAAATTAACTCCTATTTAAATGCCCAAGGAATAAGTGTGTAGCTTTTTATTTAAAGGTGGCATGAGAAATGGGGACTATACTCCCCAGGAGTAGTCATCCAGAGGTGCTGGTTCTGAAGCTTTAGGGTGCATAACATTCCTGAGTCCCACTTCTAAACTGGGCACTTACTGTGATTCTGATGCAGGGAGTGTGTGCCGAACATACTTTCGCCATGTGTAAAGAGTTCTAGTTTGATAAGGTAACACATTTAGCACTCATTAAAACAAGGAGAAATGAGAAGTGTGAGTATTAGAGAAATAGGGAAAAGATGGGTTTGTATCACAGTTTATTAATTTTCCCCCATCCAATCTGGGAAAACTTTTCAGAATCCTCTCCTTGAACTTTCATTTCACTGTATACTTATTTCTTTTAATAACAAAACAAATACATATTCAAGGCTATGATGTACCAGGCATAGTTGCTCAAGTCTCTGTTGATACAAGGGTGTGAGAAACAGACACCAGCTCTGCTTAGTGAGAACTAGAAGAAGAGAATCAACAAACAATTTAAATAATTGTTTTGAGTGATAAATACCATGAGTGAAACAGAATAACTGGATAGACAATGTGTGCTGGGGAGTGGAGTGGGGCTTTGCTTTACACGTAGTCATCTCCCAAGGGAAAGCAAGAGCCAATCACCCAAGGACATAAGAGAAGAGCCTTTCAAGATGGGAAGTAGCAAAGGAAAAAGCCACCAGCTAGAAGTTGGTTGGGTGTGTTCAAAAATGAAAAGGTCAGCAGACCAGTTAGAGCATAATGAATCAGGAGAGACAGTGGACGGAAATAAGCATGTATGAACTGGTAGAGGTCAGATCACACAGCTCTTATAAGCCATGGCAAGGACTTTATTCCCAGTGGGATAGAACACTAGTGGAGGGAGTGATGACATTTGATGCATATTTCTCTCCCGTTTTTTGCTGTTAAAAATACACATAACATAAAATTTACTATTTTAACCGTTTTAAAGTGTATGGTTCAGTGATATTAAATACATTCATAATGATGTGCAAACATCAGTGCCATCCATCTTGTAAAACTGAAATTCTATACCTATTAACTCTTTTCATCTTGTAAAACTGAAATTCTGTATCTATTAAACACTAACTTTGCACACCTCCTTCCATGCTAGCCACTGGCAACAATTGTACTACTTTGGTCTATAATTCTGATGAGTCTAAGTACCTCAAATAAGTGGAATCATACAGTAAAGTATTTGTCTTTTTGTGTCTGGCTTACTTCACTTTGTATAATAATGTCCTCAAGGTTCATCCATGTTGTAGCAAATATCAGAATTTCCTTCCTTTTTAAAGCTGGATAATATTAACATGTATGTATGTATGTATGTATGTGTACACATGCATCTCCCCCCGTATTTTGCTTATCCAGTTATCTGTTGATAGACACTTCAGTTGTGTCTACATTTCAGCTATTCTGGACAATGCTGCTATGAGTATGGGTGTACAGAGACCTCTTTGAGACCCTGCTTTCAATTTTGGGGGGTACATACCCAGAAGCAGAATTGCAGAATCACATGGTAATTTAATTTTTAGTTTTTTGAGGAATTGTCATACTGTTTTCCACAGTGGCAGTGCCACTTACTATTCTCTAACATGTAATATTTTCAAACCATAAAAAACCAGATATGTTTGTAAAGGTTATTTTGGTTGCTGTGGTAAGAATGATTTGTATGACGGTTGGAATAAAACTCATTCAACCTTGAATTGTTTTATTTTTTTCTTAACAGTCTGTATATTTTCGTCTTAATTTAATTATTTAAAATATCAATATTTATTCTAAATGCATATGTAGACTATATGAGGGGATTGGACTTAATCAGTGACTTTCAATGAGAACGGCTGAGATAAGTACCCCACCACCCATGGGAGGTATCAAAATTAGCTGAAGAACATTTTTTTCAAACTACACACGAAAAGAATGAATGAAGCAACTTTTAAAAAAAGTTTTGAAAACTGAAAAAATATTGGGTGAAAAAGTATAGGATTTTCTTCTTTAGTTCCAATGCCCTTTATCTCCATTTTACTTGAACAACCCACTCCCACAAACACATGCTGAACCACGTATCATCTGAAAGTGCTGTTCTTTTGAAATCTTAAGTTCTAGCATGCCTCACTTGAATAGACAATCTCTCTATAATGTTATTTCCACTTAGTTGCCTTAGACACTAATATGGTACCTCAGAATCTATCTCTAAAACTGGGCAGAAAGAGGTGCCTCTGTGAGTTTTCAGTATGTTCTCCTAGTAATAGCTTTTAGTATGACAGCACTGACTCTGTTTAGGAATGTCAATGCAGGTTCCTCATTAGAACTAAGTACAGGAACTGTGTCATATTCATGCCTCCAAGGTCTTGGACAATGCCTTACACATTGTAGAGGCACCAGAGATTTTAGTTGATTTTAGCACTACTTCTTAAGAGGTAGGATAGCATAAGGGTTAAAAGCATGGGCATTTAACTTTTAGAAGCACATATAAAAATGCATCCAATGATATGATGTCTGGGATTTGGTTCAAAATAGTATGGGAATCAGAAATGGATGGTTTCAGTCAGTGTCTGGCATCAGAGAAACTGGCAGCAGCTCAGAGACAGGCCCTTAGTCCTTACACTAATGAGACTGCCATTGAAACAAATCCTATGGGAGAAGAGCCAAGAGCAGGTAAAGAGCAACAGGTGGAGAGTATGACACTGATACCTGTGTCCCTGGGAGGAAACAAGAATATTTTATCATGTTTGCTTGAGTGCTCAGTGGTGTGGGTTGAAAGGGAAATAAAATGGTTGTCTTGGGGTCTGCGTACAGCACTTTTGCATTTTTGTGATGGGTACTGTCAAGCTTCTTAGCATCACCAGATGGCCTTCCCCCAAGTCTTCATATAAGCATGCTATACTCTGGAAAATGTTTTCTATTGAGAAGGAAATTTAAAGATTTAGAGGAAATATATCTATGAAATATGCTCAGCAAAAGAAAATAAATGTATTTGTTCAGTTTTGTTTCATTTGTTCTCGAAAATATATGGAGCTTGGTGCTGCCTTGAAAAACGATAAAGAAAAGTTTGATAAAGTAGTTCTTAGGATTACAAATTGGAGTATAAGAGGCATGTAGCTCAGATTTAAAGTTCAGATCAACGTCATCTGCAGTCAGTGGCTACCCATATCTTGCTATTCTTGTTATGATGTATCAGAAGCTTCCTGTCACAATATTACAGCTGAGATGGTGAAGAACATCATGTGTGTAGGATCACAAACTTTCGACCGTCTTCCACTGGAAAACCAGGCCCTGAAAGCAGTTTTTATAAAACATAGAAGAGAAGACACAACTCTTATCTTTGTTTCCCAAATGTTTGCAGTTGATGACAAGGCTTTAACTCGGACCTCTCATTCAAGAAGAAATCAGAAATTGGAGCAGACCAAATCCACTGATAAGAGTGATCTAATACATAATATGCTAGATCATATAGTTAGAGGCTTCTCAGCTTACTTTGTTAGATAAATGAAACCTGGACTCAGTGATGACGTACATTTTCTAAAGTTGAGATGTCACAGCTTCTGGCATAATGTAGAAGAGGGAATCCAAAAGTGTAGAGTGCTCAGAATGTAGAAATGAATTTACCACCTGCAAACTGCATACCCACCCTACTACTGGAACCAGTTAAAGAGCCAACAAGATCTACTCAGGAAGAAGAAACCACATTAACAATCTGAACAGGAAAAATTTAACATAAAGAATTATGGATTAATAACAGAAGATTAACTACTAGGAGGGATAAAGTGACCTCTAAATAATACAGGCAAAGGAGATGTAGGAATATGTACTTTTCATAGGGCTAAGGTAGAATAATGAAATAAAGATAAACTTGGAAAAGGGACTTTTTCCTCCAACCCCTTCATTCACCCAAGGCTGAGTTTCACTTTGTAGGAGAGGATGTGGCTATTGCCCATTGGATGGCAGAGAAACTCAATGAGGTATCACAGTCAAGGCTGACACACATAAAACACTGCTTGCTAAGATACCAGAAAAACATGGCTGGGAACTTGTCAGCTACAGTGGCAGTAAAATTAGCTTGAAAGCCACCTACTTTCCGAAACTTGATAGTAAACTGCCTCATGAGATGCCAGTGAAACTCACTAGATGGTGTATACTACTGGGTCTCCCGACCACCAATGGATCTTCTGGCCACCACCAGTAGAGAAGCTGTCAGCCAGCAAGGAAATCACCCATTGGCAGCCACAGCATAATTAAAAGAAGAAAACACTAGAACCAGAAAAAGAAGTCCCAGCCACATGTGGTTACTCATGCCTGCGATTCCAGCACTTTGGAAGGCTGAGGCGGTGGATCCCTTGAGCTCAGGTGTCCAAGACCAGCCTTGGCAACATAGTGAGATCCCATCTCTGCAAAAAATATAAAAATTATCTGTGTGTGGTAGCATGCACCTGTAGTCCCAGCTACTAGGGAAGCTCAGGTGGGAAGATAACTTAAGCCTGGGAGGTGGAAGTTGCAGTGAACTGAGATTCTGCCACTGCACTCCAGCCAGTGCAACAGAGTCAGACCCTGTCAAAGGAGAAGAAGAAAGAAGAAAAGAAGAAGAAGAAAGAAGAAAAGAAGAAGAAAAAAGAAGAAAGAAGAAGAAAAAGAAGTACCATCTTCTTCTAGTGTTCTTCCAGGACCGTCTACTAACAAGGACTAAGATTGCAACAAGTGGCAAACCGGAAGAGAGTGATTTAGAGCTGAGAGGCAATAAATTGATAACTTGCAAAGTTGGGGATATATATGAAATAAAACTGGCCATGATGTGATAACTGTTGAAGCTGAATAATAGGTACAAATGATTATTCTGTCTACTTTGTATATTTGAAAGTTTCCATAATAAAAGGTTTTCTTATTCACTCTTTTCTAATGCACTGGAGTTAACCCACTTGCTCTCAAATCCTGGCTCAGTCACTTAGTGGCTAATTATTTTGGTGCTTTGCTTCTCCATTTGTAATAACAGTAGTTACTTCATTTCGGATATAGGGAGGAGTTAATATATATTATATGAAAAGCAATTAGAGAAGAGCTGATATGCAGTAAATTCTCAATACATTTTATCTATTGTTACTATTTGTATTATTTATACTTGTACTGACACCATAAATACACATATCTATAAAAATAAAAGTTGGTAATTCATAAGAAATTAAACCATAGATTTTGTTGATATGACCTTCAGAATGCTAACCTTATATCTATACATCTGTTATATATTAGTCCTTCCAAGAATAACTTACCTTATCCTTGATTTTGTCAACTCTAGCATCCAAAGGCTGGTTTTTGCTTTGTTCCTGATTACATTTTCGATTTCCTCCACCTGAGCTTGTACTTTTAGTTTGTCCCATGGAACTTGAAGCAGTAGTGGATAGTACAGATGTGTTGATACCAATTACAGATGATGTATTATTTCCATTTATTGACCCATTTACTCCTTGAAAATAAAAATAAACATGCTTATACAATGGAATATTATTGCATCATTTAAAAATTAAGTGCAGATATATGTACAATTGGATGAACTTGAAAACATGGTAAGTGAAAGAAGACAGAAAAGGTCATCTTGTATGATTCCATCTATATGAAATATTCGGAATAGGTAAACCTATAGGGACAAAGTGAAAACTGATGGTTTCCAGGGGCTGAGGGAGAGGGGAATGGGGAGCAACTGCTTAATGGGTATAAAGTTTCCTTTTGCAGTGATAAAAATGTTTCAGAACAAGATAGAGGTGGTGTTGTACAACATTGCAAAAGCATTAAATATCACTAAATTATTCGCTTTAAGATGGTTAATATTATGTTAACTGAATTTCACCTCAATTAAACAAAATGTTTAGAAAGATAATGAAATGCAAATGTTCTCCTTTTAGAACAAACTTTGTAAAACACTTAAGTGAAAAGATAATAAACCATCTAAAATGTTGTTATAATTTTCAAATTATATTCTAACAAGTTATTAATTGCAGAAATATTAGTGATCATTTAAAAAACAGTACTAGGTTATTAGTTTTAATGAAGTTAATACTTAATTACAGAAGAAGTAACACACTATATTGGGTTACATATAGGGAGGTAATGAAATACAGAGGAAAAAGCAGTGGAATTGGGCTAAAATCCTGACTAGGCCACATCCATATGTAAGCAGTATTTTCTTGAACAACTTATTTGACTTTGGCTGTAAAAATAAAATACTTCTAATCTCAAAGAATTATTGTAAGAATTAAGCAAGAAAATGTGAAAAGGTCTAGTATAATATTATAAAACTGTTATTAAGGCCGGGTGTAGTGGCCTACGCCTATAATCCCAGCGCTTTGGGAGGCTGAGGTGTGAGTATTGCTTGAGGCCAGAAGTTTGAGACCTCTGGAAACATACAGAGACCCTGTTGCTACAAAAATTAAAAATAAAATTTAAAACTGTAGCTGGGCATAGTGGTACATGTCCGTAGTCCTTGGGAGGCTGGGGCAGGAGGACTGCTTGAGCCCAGGAGGATGAGGCTACAGTAAGCTATGATCACATAACTGCACTCCAGCCTGGGCAAAAGAGTGAGACCTTGTCTCTATTAAAACAAACAAACAAAAACAAAAAACAAAAAAAAGGTATTAAACCTGAACATTATGAAAATATATGAGAATGGAAGATTTATAGCTCTTCACTTATGTTAATGCGGATACCTTTTTCGGGACCATTTCGATTACTTTTTCCTGAAGTCCTTGAATGGAATGAAGAAGAATCATGATTCTGGGCTGGGGGAGCAAATAGAGGTGGAATTCCCAGTAATGGTGGAAAGAAGGTTGCTCCTGTACGTGTATGAGCATCGGTTGTTCGCCACCATTCTGCACCTCAAAACCAAACAAACCAACCAAACAAAAATATATAAATTAACTTTCCAGTTAATATCACAATGGCTTTCTATGTTTTATTTCAAAAATAATTCAAGTTTCATCTTGGAACAAAACTGCTGAATTGCTCATACTTCTGATTGTTTTCCTAATTTTAAACAGTAGAACTTGTACACTTAACACTCTTCTCATTAGGCCAGTATCTAAGGATCTTCACTTGGCAGCTTTGTGGAGTTCAAGCTTGTAAAGGACAAAGGTAGTCCACAGTTTAAAAAATGAAAGTGAAAACTAGGAATATGAAAGAAGTATTTCACTCTTCGATGACTTATCCCATTCTCATCTGTTTTAAACCCTTAGAATTTAAGTTTACATCTACAACCTATGTTAAGACTTTCCTCAGATTACATACAATATAAATCTGGCTCTGATAAATCAGATAGTCTAAATAATAATATAAGACTACTGTAATCCACTATACCTTAAGTACATTTATGGAAGAAAACTTCTATACTTAAAGATAACCCCATAAATACAGCAAAATCAGTAGGCCTTTTTATGTTCTAAAAAATAAGTTCTCAAAGGAGATTTCAAAAGCAAGTAATTTCACATTAAAATATAAAAGATTTATAAAGCCTCCCCCCTTAAAGTTAATGATGAAAGCTTGAATTTTGTTTTTACTTCCACTCATAAATTACAGATAACAATGACTGTTTTATTGATATAAAATGACCAGTGGTAGAAAATCATTCAATAAATGGTAAATACTTAAAGAGTATCTCTTTAAAGTTTTAGAAAAGGAAATAAGCCAAATTTTACACATTTTTCAAGGAAGGATTAAGTAATCTTGTATTGCCCCATCTAAAATCTCAAAAACAATCTTCTCCAACTGGCTAGTCTGCTAGATTACCAAATCAGTTATTATCTTTCAGACCAGACTTCCAAAAGATATGGGGTATTTTTCATTGACTATGACAACCATAAGAACATTAGAGGAAAAAACCCCACAACAATACAGTACTGAAGAAACTCAAAATTGTCAGGCTATTGTATTATATAATCGTTAAAACTTTTCTAGGAATATCCTTCATTAAAAATAGAAAGTAAAGTGGTATGCACCTTCATTATCTAATGGCAAAATCTGTAGTTTAAAAGAAAAGTGAAATTTTCATGGTAGTTGCCAGTTTCAAAGGTCTGAAAAACAGTATAAGTAGAAAACTGCAAAAGCTATTCTTCTGCACTGCAGGAAGGTGTTACTAGTAAAATGATACCAATGTATATTCAGCCATGCCTGAACAGTGGGAACTGAACCAAGAATAACTATACAAAAGCATTGATCATTTATCCACTGTTTAGATGAAAGATGTACATTTAGATAGGAAGACAAAGTATGTGTTTTGGGCTTGTATTAGCACAGTCAGAATCTTGTTATTTATAGGTTTGAAAGCTAGGTTCTACCTAGCTGATAAAAAGTTACTGTACTGAGGACCAGGCACAGTGGTTCACACTCGTAATCCCAGAGCTTTGGGAGGCTGAGGTGAGAGGTTCACTTGAGGCCAGGAATTTGAGACCAGCCTTGGGCAACAGAGAGAGACCGTGTTGCTATAAAAAATTTTAAAAAGCAGGGAGGGACTGAGGTTTCCCAAAGATATTTATATAATTTAACACAGAGTCTGTAATGAAAGTGGAATTCAAAGACTTTGTAAACAACCAAAAAATTGGTAAGGTAATGAAAGTCTAGAAAGATTCAAATATTTTAGACATAATCAAACTCAGAAAAAAACATTTTAAAAAGTACTCGAGAATGTCAATGGTAAATAAGCACATAGCTGGGTGTTGTGGTGCACTTCTGTAATCCTTGCCACTGGGGAGGCTGAGGCACAAGAATCACTTGAGCCTGGGAAGTGGAGGTTGCAGTGAGCTGAGATCGCACCACTGCACTCCACAGCCTGGGTGACAGAGTGAAACTCTCTCTCAAAGAAAAAAAAAGTAAATAAGTACACAGTAGAGATTAGAGAAAACAATGGGAAAATGTGTGTTATAAATAACCTGACACCACAGAAGAAAATACAAAATAAGAAAATAAGATTAGTTAAATAAAAAGATGCGAATGGTAGAGCTTCTGAATATAAACTTTACAAATGTCTGATGTTATTTCATAGGATATAATTTTTGTTAAGTGACAAGCTTGTCTTCCAAATTTAGGAAAATAAACAAAATTTAGTCACAAATCAGCTTGTTGATAAAATGAAAAATACAAAATAAGGATAACATAAATCAGCATATGGTAAATTTCTAAGTATATTCAAAAGAAAGAACAGCATAGTAGCAACATTTAACTTTTTTTTTTTTTTTTGAAACAGATTCATGCTCTGTTGCCCAGGTTGGAGTACAGTGGCCTGACATGGGCTCACTGCAACCTCCATCTCCTGGATTCAAGTGATTCTCTTGCTTCAGCCTCCAGGGTAGCTGGGATTACAGGCATGCACCACCATACCTGGCTAATTTTTGTAGTTTTGGTAGAGATGAGGTTTAGCTATGTTGGTGAGGCATCAAGTGATCCGCCTGCCTCGGCCTCCCAAAGTGCTGGGATTACAGGCATGAGGCACCATGGCCAGCCAATATTTGACATATTTAACTCAAAGAGTCTATTAATAATATTTCAGAGGACATAATAGATCTCAATTTGAACCTAGAAGATTTAGCAGAATTTAAAAATCATTCATACTTGATACAGCCAAAAATACTTTGCAAAAATTCATGGTAATTTAATATTAAAATTAATTACCAAAAAAATTACAAATATTTTAAAAATTACCATGAAATACTATTTCAATATAAAATGGAAATAATTTTATTATGCTAATATCCATTAAATAATTTTACATTTATTGATTTAATTTGAAATGCATATTTTAGAAACTACATAAAATGTAAAAATAAATTATTCCTCATTAAAAATTCCTAGTGATATCTTCCTGTTTTGTTCTTATTTATTTACTGGGTGATTTAAAAGTCTGGCAATTTGGTCACCCTTCTGAATAAAGCCAATTATAGAAAATTTATATTTAAGTTACTGTACGAAACTGCAAATTAAACAAAATGAATCTTTGAAAACTAGGCATAATCTATGCCCATCTGGCAAAAAGTATGCTCATCTAGGCATACTTTTATCACTAAAGATTCTGTCTTGCAATTGTCTGTTTATCTATCTCCTAAAAACTGTAAGCAACATAAAATATAATATATTATGTTTATTCTTCTGTTTTTGGCCTTGTGTGCAGAGCATAGTAGATGCCCAAAGAATTTTGTGCATTTAATGAAAAAGTGAATAATTTATTTTGGCTGAGGAAGCTATCAAATTTTTTTCTATACAGAAGTATCAACATTATTGAAATCCAGATGAGTAATTTTTTAAATGTGTTAACCATCATTCTAGTACACAAGATATTTGATTTTAATAATATAGTATTTACATTGTGGTTTAGAAATGTTCAAAAGCAACAGTGTAATAAGCCATGATAAAGCAATAAAAATATTTAAGATATCACTATCTATATTGCTATTTATTTTGATATTTATTCAGTAAATTCAGATACTTATATTTCAGTAAATATCTATGGAATGCTTATCTTGCTAAGCAACCATGCTAGAAACTGACTAAATTCCTATTAATATTTTTGAAGGAAATGTTAAAACTTGGTTTAAGACTTCTTTAACTGCCTACTCACAATACTCCTCCTCAGCATCCCTGCTTCCCAGACAACTGAATTAAAGAAGTAATATGACTCAAGAAATAGTACTTGAAATATACATTTAACCATCTATCCTTTCTACATATTGTTTTAAAAACACTTCTTTCCTTTTAAGAAAGCATTTGATAAATTATTAACCATTAAAGTAGGCAAAATAAAATAATGATAGTTACCAATTATGGACTAATTATGTGCACCAGATACTGTACTCGGCACTAAATATGACTTAACTCCTTTAATCCTCACAAGAACCCTGTAAGTCAGGTACTATTATTATGATCCTCATTTTTCAGATGAGAAAACTGATGCTAAGAGGTCAGATAATTTGTTCAAAGTCACACAGCTATGAAATAACAAAGCCAGATTTAAATTCAGGCCTATTTGTCTCTAGAACTATGCTATAATGTTTTAAGTTATTTTACATACACTAATACATGCAGACCTTACTAAAATTTATTAAAGTCAAATTAATCTATAGAAAACACATTCAAATTTAAGCTTTCAAGATAATATAACAAATTAAAGCATGTCTGTCTAAAGTTTTAATTAACTGATGTCTTACTGAACTACTAAATCCTCATAATCTATAGAATTTTGGATAATACTGGTCCTTTTGCCATGTAAGTGGTACAACTCTCTAGTTGTTTTGATCAAATACAGAAAAACAGGCTGGGCACAGTGGCTCACACCTGTAATTCCAGCACTCTGAGAGGCTGAGGCGGGCGGATCACTTGAGATCAGGAGTTCAAGACCAGCCTGGCCAACATGGCGAAACCCCGTCTCTACTAAAAATACAAAAATTAGCCAGACATGGTGGTGTGTGGCTGTAATCCCAGCTACTCAGGATGCTGAGACAGGAGAATTGCTTGAACCTAGGAGGAAGAGGTTGCAGTGAGCTGAGATTGCACCACTGCACTCTAGCCTGGGCAACAGAGCAAGATTCCATTTCAGAAAAAAACAAAACAAAACAAACAAAAACCAGAAAAATAAAGAAAGGTAAGAGTCTAGCTCATTTTCCTTATGGTGAAGAAAAGTGAGAACTTGAAATAGGGGTGTAAAAACTCATAAAAACAACTTCAGTTTCACACTAAATAATTTTTTAAAAAATCAAATAAGGCTGAGGAAAATTCATTTAACTCTACATTTATAATATGTATACTTTTCTGTATATTGTACTTCAACAAAAAACATGAGAAAAACTTGCCTGAATTACTCTGTCCTGTGACAGACACTTATTTCTCTAGGTAAATACCTGGATATCTAATTAACTGCTCTGCCACTTAACACACGTAGGGTGTTTAATTTTTTGCACATGATAAATAGGATTGAGCCAATTCTTATACCAAAGTTTTAAATATACCAGGCATTAGACTATTCCTTTTATTCAATAGACAAATTACTGCTTGAACATTCTCAAGCTTTCCTCCTTTCCTTGAACACTGTTTGTAACAGATGTTTACCTGGAAAAGATGCTAGTTGGGGATGTGCGGCTAAGGCTGTGGGTGTACCAAGTGTCCCCAAACCACCAAATTCTGAATGCCCTGAGCTGGCTGAATGTAGACCAAAGACTGGGTGGCTGACCATTGGGAAGGCACTCGACACTGTGGACAGGTTAAACGGTTGATCCCCAGCTGTTCTGAATAAATGTCCTGGGAGGGAAAAAAACACACTTAAAGTTGTACTATAAAAAACAGATGAGATTTATCTGATTTCAGTGTTTGTAGTTAAAATTTATAATAATTTACCTATTACATTTTTGTTTTACCTTTTTCTTGCTGCATTTTCTACTCTTCAAACCCTATGAAATGTTTCTAGAAACATGAAGGCATGCTAAAAATCATTAAAATGAATGGTATAACTTTACTTACTTTGAATTTGAGATTTGAGAACCGATGTTTTAAGTAAATAATTTTCACTAATTAAAACTGTCTGACCTGAGGAAGTGAGGCCAATTTTCTCTTAATATATATACATTAATATATTATCAATATATTTCATAAGAAGGGAAATAAAAAACATCCTATTAATCTAAGGTTGAAAGCCACTGAAATAAGTACAGGATCTGTCACCTGGTCAATACTCAAATTATTATACACTCTAAGCAAAGGGATCCCAGTTTCAATGAGCCAGAGTTGAAGCTCTGTTCTCTAATACAGTCATGAGTTGTTTAATGACGGGGATACATTCTAAGAAATGCATTGTTAGGTGATTCTGTCATCGTGCAAACATTGTACAGTGTAATTACACAACCTAGGTGGTACAGTCTACTACACACCTAGGCTATAGGATACAGTCTATTGCTCCTAGGCTACAAACCTGTTCAGGATATTACTGAACTGAATACTTTAGGCAGCTATAACACAATGGTAAATATTTGTATATCTAGACATATCTCAACCTAAGAAAGGTACAGTAAAAATATGGCATTATAATCTTAGGGGGCTATTGTCAAATATGTGGTCAGGCATTGACTAAAATGTCATTATGCAGTGTATGACTGTACTTCTTAGGTGAGAAGAGTATCTTGATACCAAAAAGGGAATATATTCTAGTCTAACAAAACAATGCACAAGACAACATAAGTACTTAATAAATTTACAAAGATATTTCTAAATGAATTCACAAGTGGTTATCAATATAAAAATCATTTTTAACTTTCTCAGAGTAAGACAATGTTCAATTCAAATGAGTCTGACTTTTTAATTCTATTTTTAATCTAAAGAAAATCTAATAGTAAGTGTTACAACTCCAGGTTGGAATGTTGTATGATAAAAGACATGACTTATTTTTCATACTTTGTAGGAATTTGGCAGAAAAATTTTCTAATACTTGGAAATCCTCCCTTTACTTCCAGGAAATAATTAAGGTACCCTGTCTTGTGATAATAGAATACTCTAGGTTATCTTAAGAATTTACTGTGTGAACAGTATTGTGCTCTGTGTAAAATTAGAATAAAGCTTCCTTATTATCTCTTATTTATATTATATCAGTCCTGACTGTGCACTGCAATTTAATTAGTTTTAATATAGTATGTGTGAAATTTATAAATGTAAGTTAAAAATAGTATACTTACTGTTATTATTTAGTTATCAACCAAATCTCTTCCCTTGGCTTTCTTGCTTCCTGAAAACCAAGGGGTAGTCCTAAAAAACGGTCAGCATGTACCCTCCAAAGTCTGATATAAAACCTATACTGTTTATTAAAATAATGCTATATTCTTTACTGAAACAGGAAGATCTGAATGACTTTTAAAAATAAGATTTAAATAAATTGCATTAAGTATGTTTTGTATCAGGCTATTTAAGAAAAAAGTTCTGAATCAGGATAGTGCTCCCACTACAACAAAGCAGTAACTAGATTTCACAGGGAAAATCCTCATGTCTTTACAAGGAAGGCCCACAAGGAAACTGTGAGGTAAGAGGACAAGGAAAGGGCATAAACTTGGGTGCCTTTTCTAAATCAGCTAATCATTGTTTTTGTTGAATTGGTTCTTCTGTGTATCAGAGTGGACTGCATTAGAACTGAAGATGAGTCAAAATAAAACAGAGTATGCTACTGCCAAAAAAGGCTACCCAAATGTCACTGTCTTTAAGACCAGTGATAAGCTACCAGAAATATTGTGTTAAGTTTTTTTTTTTTTTTTTCTGGTAACTTCTCAGAAACCCAGCTAGTTTCTCAAAAAAAATGAGCTTGTAACTGTAAAAGCCAGTTTTTACTTTCATTTGTTATTACACACAAAATCTCTGGTTCTCACCAATCAATTCAACTTCCTGACTCAAATGTACTTAAATGTTTTATTTATAAACATACTATGATCAGTTCTTTTCTTTCTCCATCAATTAGTGTGGTAAGCAAGTTGAACTGAACATTGCAGTTTTGGAGAATTTGGAGTCATCTGTAATTTATGTTTTACAAATAACAATTCCTAAATTATATCAATTATATGTATTTAGTCGTGATTTAATACAAAGAAATTTGAGGGAAGTAACCTCAAAACTACAAAAGCTATATTAAATATTATAAAAATCCAGAATAATTGAAATTGCCAAGGATTAGAAACTGAAACACTTCTGTAATAACTAATTGTAATTACAATTAGTTGTAATAAATAATTGGTAATAATTGGTAGTAATAAATAATTGGTAGTAATAAATAATAAGTAATACACAATTGGTAGTAAGCAGCATTCTTAGACGCATAGTTACAGCATTAATTTCATTATTGGGGAGAAGCAAACAAGCTAAACTTTGTAGTCTCACAAGCAGAAAACATAAGCAATAAGTAAATGAAGTTACCACTCTTGCAGCAACAATTAAGAACCAATGATACATAATTTGCCAACAAAAAGTTCTTTTTTAACTCTAAAAGGAATGGCATCTGGAAGCAACTGAGTAGAAAGTTTCAGCAAAATGAGCTGTATACATCACAGATTCCAATGAAAAAAAAATATAAATCTGTACACAAGAATGACATCCATGCCTGGCAAGAATGCAGAGATGGGCATTCAGATCAAGGCTACTTCAACTCTACTTCCTAATTCTTTCTTCTAAAATTCTTAGTTAAAATAGTTCAAAGCATGGAAAGCACCCTTAGTGACGACTGAATCCTACAGGTCCATTCTTTGCTGGTGAGAAAAAGACTCACCTCTGTATTTAGTGAAATATACTAAGATCACTTAACATGATTGTAGTAATACCATGCATTAAAAAAATACCCAAGTAAAAGACTTCCTCTGTTTCATGTGGGAGAAGTTATACTACAGAAGGGAAATAATTTAAGAATACATTTCACAATTTTACTATATTTTGCCTTTATAGCAAGAATTGAGAACTCAGTGATATTTTTAAAAAAGTAATCTTTCTCATTAAAAAGTTCTGTAATGCTATATATATAATTTTAATAGTTTTTCTTCCACCTTTTACAAAACACAGATAGTAATTCTGTGTAAAAATCTTACAGAATTATTCTGTTATTTAACAGTTTCTGTAATTCAAACACTTCATGAACATACCTATTAAACATCAGGTGCTCTGCTTAAGTAACTGGCCTACAAGGATGAGTAAGACAATCTCTGACCTCAAAGAACTCATGTTTTCAGCATAATTTAAACAGTGCAAGACCATTTTTATACCATAATGTATAAAACAAGTTTGTTAATATTTCAATATTACAAATTGGTACGGTCACATACAGGACTCAGTAATACAACCCAAACACCTAAAACAATGTCTAGTATATAACAGACATAAAATAAATTTTTTTAAATGAATTAATTCACTACTCATTTAAAGTAGAAGAGGCCTATCCATGGGACTCATTCCAAAGGCTTTCAATCATAACAAAAAGTTGTCTTGAGTCTTTATGCAAACTTGCAGTTATGGTTCCTAGATTCCTTTGCCTTATTTCCTTAACCCCTCGTCCTAATTTGTTAACATTACCACTGGCCCTTTATTCCTCCTTGATTTCATTTAGGGCACATGTTGGATTTCATCACACAAAATCCTACCACCTCCAGGATCTTAAACTCTTAAAGTTTCACCCTTGAACCACAATTTTCACATTTCCATTCCCTTATTTCTCAACATGACCTTTAGCCTCTCCCAGGGCCATTCCTTGACCTTATCTGTCTCTTTCCCTCTCAATACCATCAATATCTCTCCTGTGTTAACCTTAAAGGAAAAGTCTTATACCTGCTATGTCTACTTCCTCCTCACTTCTCAGAATGTTTCATCATTTGTGCCAAGCCCCAAGCCTCCCTGCCACTTGGTCTGTAAAATGGAAGTTTTCCTAATCACTAGATCCCTCTAATCTTTCATTCTCAACCTCTTATGTCTGGCATTCCTGATTGCGTCTTTCATATTATTATTTTTTTGACATGGAGTCTCACTCTGTCACCCAGGCTGGAGTGCAGTGGCACAATCTCAGCTCACTGCAACCTCTGCCTCCGGGTTCAAGTGATTCTCCTGCCTCAGTCTCCCGAGTAGCTGGGATTTCAGCTGTGTGCCACTACGTCCAGCTAATTTTTTTTGTATTTGCAGTAGAGACAGGGTTTCACCACGTTGGCCAGGCTAGTCTCAAACTCCTGACCTCGTGATCCGCTCGTCTCGGTCTCCCAAAGTGCTGGGATTACAGGTGTGAGCCACTGCGCCTGGTCCTTTCTTTTCAAAACCCATTATCATCCTTAAGATCTAGGTCATGGAATCCTCTTGATCCTCTTCTTAACTATACATCTTTCAATAATACTATCTCCTTGATTGGATTTTCTTTTGCTTTTTTCCCACTAAATGTAAAGTATTCCTAAAGATTTTGTCCAGCTGTCTCTTTCCTTCTTTTATGCTTTCCCCTTCAATATTTCACATGCTTATAATGTTTAAACTATCACCTCTATGCAAATGAATTATAAGCCAGGATTTTAGATCTTTGAGGCAAAAACTGAATCTTATTTAGCTCAGGATTTCCAATAATCTGAAACACAGTAAGTACCTAATAAACTGTTTCTCATTGCTGTATTTTTGGTCACATTATTTCTTCCACTTGAGAACCTCCAAAGCCTGTATAACATGCTCTTTGATTTCTACCCTTTATAATTATATTCTTTACTATTTCAAAAACCTGTTGCTCAAGAAGTATTCCTGAGTCTCCAGACAGATATGTTTGGGGCCTCCTTTCCTTGTTCATGATAGATTATTGGCCATTTGTCCTTTATCATACCATTACTAGGGTATAAAAGTTATGAAGGAAACAGCCATGTCTTAACCATTTTTACTCTTTACAAAACATTGCACAAAGCAAACTGCTATCAGTTGGCAGAGACAACACTTCATAGTACCTGTTTAGGCATCTCCACAACAATAGTTTTCAATTCTTTGTTTCACTTTTCTTTTAAAAGGCTAGAATAAGCAGGAATTATTCTTTAAATGATTAAAATATAACATGCCACTTTGCTCCAATTGCAAAAGTCACTCACAAGGTTAGTAAAAGCTCACTGGGTATTCAGAATGATGTCTCTTTTGTGGCTTTAATCTTTTTATACAGCAGGGATTGCTGTTTTGTTTACACCCTTGGTCCATTGCCAGAAAAATAACCTTAGTCTACAACCATCTTAACATTTCAAACTACTGTTCACAAGGAAAATTTTGATCATAGACTGATGATGGCTCAGTCAATCCTATAATTACATTTAAAACAAAGCATATTCAGTATTAATAAAAAAGGAGAAAGATACTTTATTTCACAAAACAAAATACAACTCAAGTCAAACAGGCTCTATTAACCTTATGAGTACAAAACAAAATTATCTGGATATTACAATGTTCCACTTTTAGAAAAGCAAATGTTTCTCATATTAATGTACTTAATATCAACAGATTTATTGCTCACAAATAAAACCTGTCTTGATGAAAACTTCTGAGTTCTGCTCAGAGAAAACATTTGCAAGCTGATGAATTATATCATAAAACAATATTTTTAGAAGATCACAATTTTTTTGCAGATATTAACATTCAAACATAGTTTCAATATTATGAATATAAATATTATTTTAGTTTCTATTTTGAGAGGTAACTGTATACATTTTACATAATAAAAATTAATATACATCTGCAATGCCTATGTTCTCAGATTATAATGAGCCGAATACTTTTCAGCAAAGCTTTTCAAATTCTACTGGCCAAATCAAATCACTACATATAAAAGTGATTAAAATCAGTACACAAATGCTGGTGTGTGGCAGTAACAAGGCATGGTAACTACAAATGTCTTTATTGGTATTAATGAATAATTCATTAAGGTTTTCTACCTGAAATTGTACTGAACTAATGCTTTGAATCTAAACTACCAGTGAACAAAATCTCCCATCACTAAGGAAAAGTCCAGAAAGTAAATAAAACAAAATAATTGTAAGAACTAAGTATGTTAAAGCACTCAATCTTTTTAAAAGTCAAGAAAATTGCTTACTATGACATAACTTTATGTTTTTTTGTGTGCTAAAAATGTCTTTTAATCTTTCAATGCTACACAAAATTGTTATATCTTGTCTTCAAATTTTGTCTCTAGTTCCTTAAAATGGTAAGTATAAATTTACAACATTACAAAATCAGGCTCTAATATACATCTTGCAAAGTATGGCTATTCATTAAAAATGGTAGTATATTCAAATAAAGTTGTTATGAGGACTTTAGTTAATATCAGTAATAAGTGAGTGTAATACCAAAATGAACATCATCAAAATTACTGTAAATCAAAGCAATATTCAAATTACTGGCTCACACATTAAAATTCTTCAGTATATTAATATTTAAACATTTCTGAACTCAAAATGTCCAAATTTTGTAAACCTGAATTTTGATTAAAGAACAGAAAGAAGTCTACAGTTACTGGTGACAAAACATTTCTCTCCAAGTAATTCTCATTTCACTCTTGAATTCTCAAAATGTTTTGAGCTAGTTAACCTTTTTTTTTTTTTTTTTTAAGAACAAAACAGGTATATTTCTATTAGACTACCTGATACAGAAGATAGTGTGGTATGGATGGATAGTATGAATGACAAATAATACAAATATATTTTATTTGAAATAAACAAAAATGCATACACAGCTCAATGGGTCACTTGGAAACAAACTGTTGCTTGACTATATTACTGAGCAAAAACAAAACTAAAGCACACACACTTTTTTTGTTTTAACTTGTATCTGGAGATAGACAGGAAGACACTACTTGTTTCTTTTAAAAACTGACCTTCCCTTAAGGCCGGGTCATAGAACGATAAACAATGTAAATGAATCCACCATTATCAGTTGTTATATTATATCTATGTCATCTGTGTATTCTGAGATTACACACATACCTGCCAATATACCTGGAACAGGTTATTTTATCACAGTTACACTTGAGTTCTTGAAAGGCAGGACTGAGGAAGAGTAATTTGAAGTAAATTTTACATCCTATTTAGAAGAAATCACTAGCATTTACTTACATAACAGGTTACAATAGAAAGATACTGCCTGGAGTTTATCCTTTTCATTTTGGTTCATTTTTAGTTTTTGTTTATGATTACATAGCTGTTTAATTCATTTGCTTATAGTGCAATCCTGCCATAAAGTACTAAAGCACAAGATACCTATTATTTCCTCAACATCTGCATTTTTCAAGTTTTATACTCTATATCCACAGTATTTCAGTAGTTCTTGACTGTTTAAAAAAATAAATGGGTAAAACTCTTCTAAAAATGCAGATGTCTATAACTACAATGGCACTAAGATGGGAAGGAGACAATGAGAGAAGGGATAAAAGCAAACATGTTCATGTGCAGGGAACGTGGTTCAAGTCTTTGGATTTAAAAACAAGTTCCCCAGAGAAGCTGACACTTCCTTTGCCCTCCAAAAAGAACCTGAAAAGTCCCAATCCAAACTTTCGAAAATTACAGTTCTGAGATGCAATAAATGATGATCAAAGCAGTCAGAGGGAGAAGGATGAACGTGTCTTCCATTTAGCTATAGATTGAAGTATAGCCTCTTTAGGTGCTAGTGGATCAGTGAAAACCACTGAAGTACCAGAAGTGCTTGGAAGGATGGGGTAGAAAGTAATGACCATAATACCTTGTCTAAATCAGCAGCAGGGCTTCATGGCTAGGAAACTTTTTTCAACAGTAAAATGTCTCTAGGATAGATCTCTCTCTCCAACATAAAATGTGCCAGAATTAACCAAACAAAAAAAAAGAAAAAAAAAAGACTTACACTTGGATATAGCAATAACAGAAAATTGCAAGGCAGAGAACACAAAAGAATCAAGACAATGCTTATAGGTTCAACAGTATTCCATGAGGCTAGAAAACTGGTTAACTTTAAAAGCTCTAGCAAAATAGCACTCTTGTTTATAAATCACTTATTTATCATATGACCACACGTTGAATCCTTGTCTTTCCACATAGTGAAGAATCCTACATTCAGCCTTTAGGCATTCTGCATTTCTTTGGCAATGTTGTAGCTGAGTATCTTGTTCTAGTCGATTTTGGTGCGGGTACCTGGAAGCTGCCGGCGCCAAGACCTTGAATGTGGTATCTGACATTGTTTGATAGTTTTCACTAATTGCTGTCTGACGCTCATTTTCTGCATTCTCCATGATTTTAATAAACTCCTCGGCAGTTTGTGTGTCATTCGAAACAGTCAGTGAATCATGTACATCTTTATGACTAACCAACTGAACATTGCCATCTTCATAATAGTGAACCTGAATCTTAAGCACTCCAACCACCTGGCCTGTAGGTGGTGTGATGGTCAACTTCCACTCTGATCTCCAACGACCATTCCATAAGTTTTTAGGCTGACTCTGGTGGCTTTCAATACACGCAATAATAGTCTGTTGCCCATTGATAGTTTTAGCATAAACAGTACAGAAGCAGTTGGAATAATGGTCTTTCACACAGGCTCTTAAAGCACTGTCACAGGATTATCTCCAAGACTTCAGACCTCCATCTACTTGTTCTGGCTGGGGGTCACTTGCTTCTTTCTGTAAGTGATCAAATTTAAAGGAAAATTTGTTTCTTGGATCTAAAACTCTGATATTGCCCAGGTCACCATGCTCTGTAATTAAGACCTGATCTTCATATCCTTCTGTCTTCACAGGTGTGAACTGATTCACGTTGTAATGAGCAAATGGATGTTCTGCCCTTTCCCTGAGGAGGTTGTCATTATTACGTAGTAGCCGAACATCACCGAATACTTCATTAAATTCCCCTGGGGGTGCATGAGTGATGAATTCAGCAGCTATGCGTACCTTCTCCTCATCCAACACACAATCAACGAAGTTGGCCATCTTGCGCTGTTCTCAACATTTATATTTTAACACTTAAAAAGATGCATGGAATGGAAGCAAGGTCTTTTTTTTCTGAGATATAAATAGCTTTTGTTTATCTTACACTATATGAAATGCCATACACTATATGAAATGTATTGTATCTTGTAAATATTTAAAAAATCACTTCTGATGCTAATCTGGCCCCAAGTGTTTTTTCTTAATTATAAATTGAAAATTTATAATGACATAAATTTATAGGTTACAAGGTGATATTATAACCTCTGAATACAATGTAGAATAATTTAATCAAGGTAATTAACACAGCCATCACCTCAAATACTTAACTTTTTGTGGTGTGAACACTTGAAATTTACTCTCTGAGCTATTTTGAATATTCACCACATTATGCAATAGAACTCAAAAAAGAGAAAATAAAATTTCTCCTGTCTGAGATTTTGTACCCTTTGATCATCATCTTCCCATTCCTCCCATCCCTCAGTCTTTGTTTTTCTTTCTTTTTTCTTTTTTTATTGAGACGGAGTCTCGCTCTGTTGCCAGGCCACAGTGCTGTGGCGTGATCTCAGCTCACTGCAACCTCTGCCTCCCAGGTTCAAGCGATTCTCCTGCCTCAGCCTCCTGAGTAGCCGGGACTAAAGGCACACACCACCATGCCCAGCTAATTTTTTGTATTTTTAGTAGAGACAGGATTTCACCATGTTGGCCAGTATGGTCTGGATCTCCTGACCTTGTGATCTGCCAGCCTCGGCCTCCCAAAGTGCTAGGATCACAGGTGTGAGCCACTGCGCCCGGCCATCCCTCAGCCTTTGTAACCACCATTCTACTCTCTGTTTCTGAGTTCAATGGTTTTAGATTTCACATGTGAGACATGCAGTATTTTGTGTTTCTGTGCCTGATTTATCTTATTTCACTTAGCATAATGTTCTCTGATTCCATCCACGATGTTGCAAATAAGAAAATTTCTTTCTTTTTCAAGGCCAAATAGTATTCCATTGTGTACATACCAGATTAAAAAAAAATACATTCATCTGTTGATGAACACTTGGGTTGATTCCTTAACGTGTCTATTGTTAATGGTTCTGCAATGAACGTGGAAGTGCAGACATCTCTTTGACAAACTGTTTTCAAGTCCTTTGGGTAAATCCCACAAACAGGATGGCTGGATCATACAGTAATTCTATTTTTAGTTTTTCGAGGAACCTCCATACTATTTTCTATAAAGGCTGTACTAATTTACATCCCCATTAACAGTGTACAAGGGTTCCCTTTTCTCCACATCCTTGCCAATACTTGTCTTTTGTCTATTTGATAAAAGCCAATCTGACAGGTGTGAGATGATATCTTATTGTGATTTTAATTTGCATCTCCCTAACGATTAGTGATGTTGAGCGTTTTTTCATATATCTGCTGGCCATTTGTATGTCTTTTGAGAAATGTCTATTCAGATTGGGTTTTTTTTTTTTTTTTAATTTATTTATTATTATTATACTTTAAGTTGTAGGGTACATGTGCATAACGTGCAGGTTTGTTACATATGTATACTTGTGCCATGTTGCTGTGCTGCACCCATCAACTCGTCATTTACATCAGGTATAACTCCCAATGCAATCCCTCCCCCCTCCCCCCTCCCCATGATAGGCCCCGGTATGACACATGCACACGTATGTTTATTGCAGCACTATTCACAATAGCAAAGACTTGGAATCAACCCAAATGTCCATCAGTGACAGATTGGATTAAGAAAATGTGGCACATATACACCATGGAATACTATGCAGCCATAAAAAAGGATGAGTTTGTGTCCTTTGTAGGGACATGGATGCAGCTGGAAACCATCATTCTTAGCAAACTATCACAAGAACAGAAAACCAAACACCGCATGTTCTCACTCATAGGTGGGAACTGAACAATGAGATCACTTGGACTCAGGAAGGGGAACATCAGATTGGGTTTTATTTTTATTTTTGAGACACAGTCTCGCCCTGTCACCCAGGCTGGAGTGCAATGGTGCGATCTCGGCTCACTGCAACCTCCACTTCCCGTTTTCAAACAATTCTCCTGCCTCAGCCTCCCGAGGAGCTGGGATTACAGGCGCCCACCACCACGCCTAGCTAATTTTTGTATTTTTAGTAGAGACAGGGTTTCACCACGTTGACCAGTCCGATCTCGAACTCCTGACCTCGTGATCTGCCCGCCTTGGCCTCCCAAAGTACTGGGATTACAGGTGTGAGCCACTGTGCCCAGCCTATTTTTATTTTTAAGCAGTTATTTTGAGATTATTTTGACTCACAAGAGTTGCAAAAATAGTACACAGAGTTCCTATATACTCTCTGTCCAACCTTACTTCTCCTCATGTTAACATCTTACATGACTAAAGAACAACTTTCCGAACTAAGAAATTAACTTTGATTAACTAATTAGAATAAAGAATTTTTTCAGATTTAATCAGTTTTCCCACCAATGTTACTTCTCTATCCCAAGATCCAATCCAGCATCTCATATTACATTTAGGTGTTGTGTTTCCCTAATTTTGTAGTCTGTGATATTTCCTCAGTCTTGTTTGGTATGACTATAATACACTGAAGTGTACTGGTCAGAGGTATTTTGTAAGATGTCTCTCTGATTGAGTTTGTCTGATGTGTTCTCATGATTAGAAGAGGTGATGCATTATTAGAAAAGATGGTCAATGTGCCCTTCTCAGAGCAATATATCTAGGGCCCATAATGTTACTATGTAGTGCTGGTGACATTAACTTTGATCACTTGGTTAAGCTGGTATCTGCTAGGATTTGCCACTGTAAAATTACCATTTTCTTCTAAAACAGCATTTTTATTAGAAAACAAGTCACTGGGAGCCGTGTTAACTTTGGGAACAAAAGCTGCCATTTAATAACATCAAACATGCCGAACAAGCCTTGTTCAAGAAATGATGCATCAATACTCAGGCAAATGACTATTCTTAAAAGATAAGGACAGTTCCTCTTTTGTGATAATTTTTGTTGGATCTAATGAAAAAAATTAGAGTTCATAGATTAAAACGCTAAAAATATGGAATATTTTATATACGTTTCTATATTCAAATATAGCTGTACTTCTAGTAAGGAAACAGAAAAAACTAAAAATAATATAATTCTTGTTTTACTTTACTTACCTTATTCTAAATCTTGTTCATCTTATGTTTCAATAAATAAGAAAGTCTTAGTTTTCCCATAATGAACATAAATTATTACAATTAGCTTTGAAAGTATTGACTGGGTGTATTAATTTGCTAGAGCTGCCATAACAAAGTACCACAACTGTGTGACTTAGAACAACAGAAATGTATTGTCTCATGGTGCTGGAGGTTAGAAGTCTGAAATCAAGGTGTCAATAAGGCCATGTTCCTTCTGAAGGCACTAGGAAAGATGGGTTCCATGATTCTCTCCTAGTTTCTTATAACCTTGGGTATTCTTCCTGTGTCTTCACATGTGCTTCTTGCTGTGCATGTCTCTGTGTCTACATTTCTCCTTTGATAGAAATACTGGATATGTATTGGATTAGGGCCCAACCTAATGATTTCATTTTAACTTGATTAGCTCTGTAAGGTATCTATAACCAAGTAAGGTCACATTCTGAAGTACTAAGGGATTAAGACTCTAACCTATGTCTTTTGAGGGGGAGGATACAAGTTAACCTATAACATTTTCTTTATTTTTTTAAGAGAACTTAATTGACTTGAACACATTACCTTTCTCAAGTAACCTACTACTAAAATCCCAAATTAAAACTACAAAGTTCTACTAAAAAGTGAAGTAAAGTAATAGTCCAAAAATACTTGTGATCAAATCTTTCATTAAATAAACCCCACTGCAAAAAAAGCCTAGACAGTTGAAAATTCAACAGCCTGAACAGGCGCAATGGCCTACGCCTGTAATCCCAGTATTTTGGGAGGCCGAGGTGGGCGGATCATTTGAGGTCAGGAGTTCAAGACCAACCTGGCCAACATGGTGGAACCCTGTCTCTACCAAAAATGCAAAAATTATTCAGGCATGGTGGCACGCACCCAGCTACTTGGGAGGCTGAGGTGAGAGAATCACTTGAACCCAGGAGGCGGAGGTTGCAGTAAGCTGAGATCACACCACTGCACTCCAGCCTGGACAACAGAGTGAGACCCTGTCTCAAAAAAAAAAAAAAAAAGAAAAGAAAAGAAAGAAAATCCAAGAGCCTTTATTTAGGATTTATAGATGCCTACAACATTAACACATCAACTAAAAAAGAAAATCATGTTGTAATAGTTCAGAGTATAACATAAATACTCAAAGAAACTTTGGCTTTATCCACAAACCACCAAGGACAGGCCTGTCTCATTCCCTGATGATTCCCTACTAAGTATAAACTTAAGTCTTGGCTGTCTGTTAAGTTCTAATTAAACCATAACTTTTGACTTCCAGGTTTTTGTTTTTTTTTTTGAGATGGAGTCTTGCTTTGTCACCCAGGCTGGAGTGCAGTGGTGCAATCTCAGCTCACTGCAAGCTCCGCTTCCTGGGTTCATGCCATTCTCCTGCCTCAGCCTCCTGAGTAGCTGGGACTACAGGCACCTGCCACCACGCCCGGCTAATTTTTTGTATTTTTAGTAGAGATGGAGTTTCATGATGTTAGCCAGGACGGTCTCGATCTCCTGACCTCATGATCTGCCCACGTCAGCCTCCCAAAGTGCTGGGATTACAGGCTGAGCCACTGCGCCCGGCCTCAGGTTTGTTTTTCATACATTGCCTCTTCAGTAATCTAAACTGATCTTTTAAATTCCTTATCCTGTAGCTTATGATGCCCACCCTTAACTAAAATCTGCATAGTTACTTGATATTACCAGAGCAATGCACAGCACAGCTCAGAAAACTTATTAATCAGAGTTATCGTTTAAGTTTTAAGTCTTAGTCCTGTAAATTCATCTCTCCTTCCCTTCCTTTCTTCAATAATTGTTTCTTCTTATTATATATTTTGTGCCAGGCACTGACTGGATACATATTGGTAAAATGGATAAAGTCCTTGCTCTTTAAATGTAGAAGAATTGACAAATAAGTAAAACACCACCAAATGTCTAATTATAAATTGTGAAGAGTGCTATGGAAGAAATTATAGGTGCAGCAATTACCTAGACACTATAATTAGAGGTCTAATTAAGGTCTGTATTAGTCAAGATTCTTTAGAAAACAGAACCAACAGGTTCTGTTTTTTACATATGATTTATTACATATGATTATAAGGAATTGAGATTATGGAGGCTGACCCAGGAAAGCTGGTGGTATAATTCTGAGAACCAAAGGGCTGATGGTGTAAGTCCCAGCCATGGGAGTTGATCAACACTGGTTGATGTCCTAGATCAACCAGTCAGGCAAATAGAACTACTTCTCTCTTCCTCCTTTTTTTTTCTTCTCTGCAGGTCCTCAGTGGATTAGATGATGCCCACACTGCACTGGGGAGGACAATGTGCTCTACTCACTCTACTGATTCAACTGCTAAACACCCTTACAGACACACCCAGAAATAATGTTTAACCTGAGCACCCATGAGCTAGTC